ATCTCGGACAAAGTATAGGATAGGAGTTAGAGTAATTTATGTACGGATATTAAAACAAAAAGGAAAATATGGAAAGAGTCAATTTTTTCCTAAACATTACAAGGAAGATTTGTCCCTAGAGTTTATTTATTTTTCCCTGTCCTTCGTCAAACATAGGGTTGCATCATTGTGGCCTAAGGCCACTGTCAGAGTGGTCTGAGGATAGAAACCTCAAACAGGTGTTGATGTGGCCTAAGGCCAAATACAGAGTGGTTTGAGATCTGGGACCTCGGATCGTTGTCACTATGGCCTAAGGCCACAGAAAGAGCAGCCTGAGGTCCCCGGTTTAAGACCAGTATTACTGTGCCTAAGGCAATAAGAAGAACGGTCCAAAGTATTGAACCTCATATTGATGTCATTGATACAAATAAAAAATAATAAAAAGTAAAACTATGTTCGATGTTTGTAACATCGGACCGAGGGACAAACTAGAAAAAATAAAAAAACTACTGGAGCTACCGACCTTCCACATAATTTTAGGGGAAATTTTGGCTCTTTAATTATTTTTCTATTTGTTTTAGTGTCCGTGTGTAAATTACTTTAGGAAGTTTTTTTTTTTTCTGATGATGGTATTATTTTAAAACAAGTGAAATATTAAAATTTCAATCGCATTTTATTATACTGTTAATGTAGTTATTAAGAACAAATAATAATTTCGACAATTTTATCAAAAATTTAAATATTTGGATTTTGAATGTGCCTATTAAAATAGGGTGAGTTTAGGGCTAGTCACTTCCAAAATTCACTTTCGGCATATTTATCAATTCGATCTCCTGGACCTAAGGAGCCTTAAAAATCAATCATATTACTATTTTTTGGACCATTCATTTTAATTCTTAGAATATCATCTCATCTACATCATTTTTGGACCTCCAAATAGATAGATCGAAATGAATTTCGATAATTTGGTTATGTTTTTCCAAGTCCCAACTCAAAACCAGAGAGGGAGGGACATTCCACGATGTACAAATACTTTCTCATGACAATATTGCACATTATAACTTATAATTAATAGTGAGGTTTGCATAAGGTTGCCTCCTTATACTGTAGAAGTAATAGGCACCTCTAAAATTTGCTTAGAGATGGCATTCTTATGCTAGAAATCTTAAGATAAATTGAAAGTCTACTTTCATCCCTATTTGTAAAATTTAAAATTTTAAAAAATAGTACAATCGAGCAAGTCAATAAACACTTGAAAATCTTGAAAATATGTGGTCCAGATAACTTGTTACAAGATGCATTATTTTTTTAAAGTTGTTTTTTTTTTAATGTCTATACATCTCGAGGTCGAGATGCCCTAATTGGAAGGTTATCTAACGCCGTAATATTCTCTTGGTAGGAGTTTTGAATTGCACCTTACTTCAATAGTATAAGGTTCCAAACTTATATAAACTTTATCCTATAATTAATGAATTAAGAATGAACCTTGTTTAAAGAAAACCCCATACTTTTTTCTGAAATCAAAGAAAACCCCATACTTTTTAGATGAGGTTATAAACAAATAAAATCTTCCATAGAAAACATAGTTATTCCTGAGAAATAAAGGCACTTAAACATGGGATTTTGCTAACACAATCTGTTACAAACCATACTTAAAATACGTCTTTAATTACATAAATTATAGATGATCAAGGAACTTTGCAAGTTTCAAGCTTAAACATTATTCTTTTTTAAAAAATGTCCATTCAAAGACAAATTGGTGGCAAGGTTAGTTCCGGTCCCAAGTTCGATTCCGACCATTAAAGTACCGAACCATTAATAAAGGAAAAAATTCATGCTTTGAGAACGTTAGAAGGAATTAAACAAAGTTTAACTCAAGAAACTTTTAAACATAGTTATCAAGACCGGACCCAACCAGTGGTCTAACCGGTCAGATCATTCATTGGTGCTTTGGTTGATTTTGACTAGTTTGGTTGGCTAAACAAAGTGGATAACTCTTTTTTAAAATATTATATATTTTCAAACTATTATTTTTATTTTTTTAAATATTTTTAAAATCCGGTTAAACCAGTTCAACCAATGTTTAAACCAGTTTGAGTAGACCACACCCTCATTGGTTCGATAGTCGATCCAATTGTGATAAGCAACCTCTGCCATAGATGCGAGTGCTTTGATGTGAGTGTAGTCAATGAGCAAAGTCTTACTCTTATTAGTAATAAAATGAGCAACTTCTGCTATAGTCGCGAGTGCTTTAATGTTGCATATCAATTGGTGCGACTACTCTGCTAATGGACAGGGGGCTTCGTAAGAGCGAACAGTTAGCAAACCTAAACTCGAGAGCCAAGAAGCAACAGCTAGCAACATTGCTTTTATAATCTCACAATGACTTAAAAATAAATTGATTTTGCTTGAGAATCTTGCGATATTAATAATTAAGGATTGTATACAATAAGACCATTTACCTTTAGTATAGAGAGGTCACAATTACTTACAACAATCCGATGTGAAATTTGATGGCTTGGGTGTATCACAAAGTTCGAGAAATTTATTTTGGACTTTGAGATTGGCCAATGACATAAATGCTGCCACCGACTTTCACATTCAATAATTAAGATTAATTGTGACCACCTTGTACTAAAAGTAAATGGTCTCATTACATACTTTCCCTAATAATTAAGACTTTCTAAAAGATTTGAACAACATTTATCATTTAGCCCAAGAAAATTGCTGCACGTGAGTACAACTGCTAGTGCCGCTCTGCACCTACACACATTTGCCAAATAATCACCTCAAATTAAGTGTTGTTTGACGACCTTAAATAGTGTTACACCCTAAAGAGTAGCTTATTTCCATTTTTGGATTTGACCAAGAGCTTATGAAGATGCCAACAACCTAGATAGATGCACACATACATAAGCAAATGCATGACATAAGACTGCATGTCTATATCCAGATGCATGAATGCATACCTGTGCATGTGAGAGGTGAATGTTTAGGTATAAACACACTTATTCAAACATACCATACATGCACATGCATGTGTACATGTGTAGGTTCTTCATTAGAAACATTAAAAGAAACAAAGGTTTGTTTTAATGTTTAAAAAAAGAAAAAGAAAAAAAAAAGAAGAGAGCTTGTTTTAGTAGTTATGTGGGCCTCATTAACTCTAACACATTCATAGCACTCCCAAAACTAGCACTCTAAAAAACCTGATACCCACTGTGCTTAATGAAAAGGCAATCCAAAGAGGAAAATAAATATTAAATCCCCAGTCATATTCTGCAGTATAAGGACTGAAGCACATTGAAAACCCACAACTCCAAAGAATTAGAAAACAAGAAAAGAAAAAGGATGGCGCCATGCTTTAAACTTCTCACAACCAGGAGAGGCTGGCTAGGGAATTCAGTGTACCATGAAAAGTTAACCCAAAAAGAATTATAAACATTAAATCCCCAACCAATGTGAATGCTTATAGTAAAAAAGCCAAGATATAATCAAATATCAATGCTAAAAAAATGATCAAAATAATGAAAAGAACCGCATGGTGCCTGCTCAGGACTTGTTATAAGGAGAGGTGGTGGCAAGGGTTCTCCACCGAGAGAGAGATGAAGGTGGTTTTGATGGCCATTGTTCTCTTTGGTGCTTTAGCTTTGGTTAGTTAGGAATGATGATGCCAAATAGTAAGCATATGCCAAAACAGCCTGAAACTTTCAACAGTGTTGAGGGAGCAATTGGTGGTATTATTCCAGGAATTGGGGGTGGAGGTATGTTTTGAGGGATTTATGGTCAACCTGGGCTAGGGTTTGGTGGGCCTCCGCTCGGGTTTGGTGTGCCTTGGCTTAGGCTCCAGTCAGGAGGTTACGGGATCGGTTTTGCGCCTTCGAACTATGGATTTGTCCCACGCCATGGCTCTAGGCCTGGAGGTGGGCATCCACGATGAAATTGTGCTTGCTTTTTCATGCAAATGAGGTGTGTTTGTTTGCTCTGTAGTTTTAGGTGGGTTATTATTATGGTTCCTGATTTAGTATTACATTAATTAATAGAGGTTTGTAGGCAAATATATAGGAAAAAATTACAAAACCCCCTCAATATACACTATATATGCCACTTACCCCATCCAACTTTTTCTCTCACATTTTTACCCAAACAACCTTTATTCGCAAAAAAACCCCAACCCAAAAAGAACAAGAAAAAAAGACTAAACTACCTTTTTTTTCACATGCCCTTTTTCTCTCCTGTTTCCCATTTTTTAATTTACCCAATGCGCTCCGGCAGTCCCAAAGAACACTCCGGCAATATATGCTCGGGAGCCACAACGCTCTGACAGTGTAATAGGGCGCTCTAGCAGTGTATTCAGTGCTCCGACAGTATATGAACACGCTCCGACGGTACACCTTTTGGAGACATTTCGATCCGCAGTCTATAAAGGCCCTCCGACAATAGAGGCTCTGGACCCACGAAGCTCCGACAGTGTAATAGTGCGCTCTGGCAGTGTACTTCGACAATAGAGGCTCTAGAGCCACGACGCTCCGACAGTGTAATAGCGCACTTTGGCACTGTATTCAATGCTGTGGCAGTATATGAACACGCACCGGCAGTGCGTACGGTGATCCGACAATTCTTACAAAGCGCTCCGGCGTTCGATACATACGCGCTTTGGCAGTATGTTATAGACAATTCGCTTCGACAGTTGTATACTATGCTCCAATAATACGCTACTTGGGACTAATAGTTAGCATGAATTGATTTTTTTTGCGCGGGAAAGGCATTTTCATTCAAAAAATAACATCTTTTTATCTTGGGGTTTTTGCGAAAGGTTGTTGTGGGGAAAAAAAGTGAAAAACAAGTTTGGAGGGTGTAAGTTGCATACAAAATGTATATCAGTGTTTTTTTTTTTTTTAATTTTTCCCAAATATATCAATCCATATATCCTTAATTTATATATTCTATCATAAACAAAGTAGATATCTAATGGGGTAGATAAGTCGTAGTTTTGTCCATTATTATTATTCAATGTTAAAAGTTCTAAATATGAAATGGTATCAGTTTTGGTTTGTAGCATATTTATTTGGTATTATTAAATTCGGATTGTATCTTAAATGGGTACTATCTAGGATATAATTCTCTCATCAACCATATTGGTTTAGTACATTTCATTTCAAGACTGGATATTCTTAGCCATTCGCGCACACTGCGAGTGGTGTGGCCGTGGGTGGCATTCGCGCACACTGCAAGTGGTAGCCACAAAGTCACCCATCGCTCACACCTCACAGCAAACCCTAATATTTTTTTGCCCCTTTTTAAAACAAACCCTAATTTCTCCCTTCACTGAAACCCTAAATTCATCGCAACCTTTTCTGCCTAGAATCGGCCATTGAAGCTCCACTTCAGAGATCTAAGATCCCTTGGTTCGGATACTGGTGAGTTGACTATTCTTTAACTGTTATACATGTCTCTGATTTCTTTTTTGGTGAAAATTCTTAGGGTTTATTTATTTTCCTTTTTTTTTTTCTATTTTTTCTCCATCATTTGAAACTGTATTAAAAGAACTGTATCTCCATCATTGAAACTTTATTAAAAGTATCATGATAGCATAGATATAGTTTTTATGGAATTACCATGAATTTTTACCTTCCTGGTTTTTTCATGATTATCTAAAGGATTTCATGAATTTTTTTTTCATATTTATCTCTTTTGTGATTGCTTTATCTTGTTTCTTGTAATTTTGTTATTGCTTTATCTTGTTTCTTGTAATTTTGAAGAGATGAGCTTGTTTTTTATATTTTTCTTGAATATTTACTATTTTATTACTATATTGTGTTCTGTCTCTGCAAATTCATTGGATATTCTTAGCCGTCGGTCGCATTTGCGGACACTGCAAGTGGTGGCCACAAGGTCACCCCATCGCTCACACCTCACAGCAAACCCTAATGTTTTTTTTGCCCCTTTTTAAAACAATCCCTAATTTCCCCTTCAGTGAAACCCTAAATTCATCGCAGCCTTTGCTGCCTAGAATCGGCCATTAAAGCTCCACTTCAGAGATCTAAGAACCCTTGGTTCGGATACTGGTGAGTAGGTTATTCTTTAACTGTTATACATGTCTCTGATTTCTTTTTGGTGAAAATTCTTAGGGTTTCTTTCTTTTCCATTTTTTTTTTCTATTTTTTCTCCATCATTGAAACTATATTAAAAAAACTGTATCGTCATCATTGAAACTATATTAAAAAAACTGTATTAAAAGTATCATGATCACATAGATATGGTTTTTATGGAATTACCATGAATTTTTACCTTCCTGATTTTTTTCATGATTATCTAAAAGATTTCATGAATTTTTTATTCATATTTATCTCTTTTATGATTGCTTTATGTTGCTTCTTGTAATTTTGAAGAGATGAGCTTGTTTTTTATTTTTTTCTTGAATATTTACTATTTTGTTACTATATTGTGTGTTCTGTGTTTGCAAATTCATTCATCGATGACTGTGGATGCTTGTGAAAATGGAAGAATTTCATGTTCTTTGTCTTGTTTTGATCTTGCTTTTATGGACTTTAGCTATTTCTTAAGATCTCGTGCTTGAACTATTTCTCAAGGATTGGGAATTGACCTCTGTTTTTCTAAGATTTCATATATTTCTTCCTAGTAATGATCAAATATAGGTAGATTTGAATGATATTTATTCAAGCTGAAAAGCTTTTATTGAATTTTAAATAATTTGTGTAGATCTTCTATATTGACCAAGTGATATTTGTTAGTTTTCCTTTTCATAAGATTTCATTCAAGAAATAATTTATATGTTGATTTTGTTGAATTATTTGCTTAATTTCAGGAAATTTATCTATTATCCTTTTCTCTTTTTTCCTGTAAATGATAATGTGAATATATATATATATATATTTTTTCTGGTAAATAAGCTTCAAACAAAGAAAGGTAAAATTAATGGAGTATAGCATTCTTCTTTCTTTCTCTTTTATCTTTTATCGAAAAATACATGGAGTATAGCTTATTTTCTCTTTAAAATCATGAATAGCTAATTACTATTTAGTCTTAATATTTTTAAGACAAAAGGTCACTATGAGAATTTGGATGAAAACATTAAAAATGTTTTATTTCTTATAAATGAAATCTTGAATCTGATTTTCAGATTTATTGGGAAAACTATCTGACTTTTTGGAATAATTCTCTGAAAAAGATTATCTTGACCAGATTATGGTCAAATAGGGGTTTCAAGTTTTTGTAGGCTTATTTTCAATTATTTTCAATATGCAGCATGATCATGATTTTTTTTAATTCTATTTTTTTTAATTCTATTTTTGAGATGTATTATTTCTTACAGTTTTCGTGCAGCAATAGTGATTATGATTTTTTTTTAATTCTATTTTTGAGATGTATTATTTCTTACAGTTTTCGCGCAGCAATAGTGATTATGATTTTTTTTTAATTCTATTTTTGAGATGTATTATTGCTTACCGTTTTTCCTGTAAGTGTCTCATTTACTAACTTGAAATCATCATACCAATTGGTATCATTTGTGAATTTTGAAATCGTCGTACCAAATTGGTATCATTAGACGTGAAATTTTATGTGAAATTGGAGTTTATTGTGAAATTTTATGTGAAATTGGGGTTTATTTTTGTAGGTGTTGTAATACAACAGAGGGCATATGGACATGGACAGCTATATAAAGAGGGCGATGGGTAAACTGGTTCGGCAAAGATGAAAAAAGAATTGGTTCGGCAAAGATGAAAAACGAACCACCATTGTAAAACTTATAGCATTTATAACAATATTGATTTATAACAATATTGATTTTGGTGAAATAGATTTATAACAATATTGATTTGGTGAAATATTACTCTTTTGGTGAAATAAATTGTGATTGTGATTGTGATTCCAGCGTGATAGATTTACCCATGATTATGGGTTTTAGTGAAATAAATTGTGATTGTGATTCCAGCGTGATAGATTTACCCATGATTATGGGTTTTAGTGAAATAAATTGTGATTGTGATTCCCGCTTAATAGATTTTCGCAATTTATGATTATGGGTGTTTATGAATTCTATTTTTTCTTTTTATGTATATAAAAATATATAATATTTTAATAACATGACTGGATTAACCTGTTTCCCATCCAAATAGGATGACTTAGGAACTGGTTAATCCGGTCATGTTATTAAAATATTATATATAAAGAAATAGAATTCATAAATATCCATAATCATAAATTGAGACACACTGAAATCACAATCACAATTTATTTGACTGAAAGATTAATATTTCACCAAAATCAATATAACTACAAATGCAATAAGTTTTACCTACCTTAATATAAAGATTCTTTTTCTCATTTTTGCCAATCTGTTTACCTCATCTCCCATCTCCAATTTGCTGACATTGGCTTTTTTATGAAACAAAAGGCTATGCATAGAGATATGGATGGTAACAGATCTCTCCCATCTCCAATTGGCTGACATTGGCTTTTTTATGAAACAATATGAAACATTTTGTGAAACAATATGAAACGAAAGGCTATGAATAGAGATATAGATGGTAATAGATCTCTCGAGATATGGATTGTAATAGATCTCTCTCTCAATATGGATTGTAATAGATCTCTCGAGATATGGATGGTAATAGATCTCTCTCAATAAGCAGGGGTTTCAGGGGATCTAAACGGAAACCCATTCCCATTCCATCCCATCCCAAAACCGGTTCAGTGCTAATTGATTCCTATTTTTATTCGTGATTCCCATTCGTGTTCGGATCAGACACACAGATCAAATCAGACATAGATCAAATTGTTGGTGGGTTTTAAGTAACAATAAATTCTGTGTTTTAAGTACAATAAATTCTTTAAACGCACTCTAATTTTGGATTAGGTGGGTGCTTGAGTCTCTTTGGCGGTTTTCTTGAGCTAGACTGACCATCTTGTATGTCCTTCTCATTTTCTCTTCTTCTCTCCTATTTATTCTTTTGTCTGCTCTTTTTCTTATTCGAAATCTGATCTTGCCACGGGTGGATTTTAAGTCAGATCTGGTTACTAATCTCAACTCCAGTTATTTGATATTTATCTTGAATTTTTTTTCTTTGCTCTTCCTCTTTGTTATTAGGGAAATTATAAAACCTCTTATTTTGAATTTTCTACGTATGGATTCTGTTATCCTTTTTTTTATTCATGCTATAATTTATGGCAGAAAGCATATAAGGTTGTGTTTTTTTTTTTTTTCCATTCTACTACAATGATTTCATACTTCTTGTTTATTTTCTTTAGTTCCGGCCTGGTTATCGCCAAATCGCTCAAAAGGTTTTCAGAGGTAGGTTTGTAAATGTTGTTTTACAACCTCAAAACATTCGCAGAGGAAGGTTTTGTAAAAGAGGTTTTCGAGGTAGGTTTGTAAATGTTGTTTACAACCTCAAACCATGAGGAAGGTTTGTAGAGTACTTCTCACCTCTTTTGTCCATCAAGGTACTCTCTATACAAATAAGCTTTAAATGATATTGGGGACTTTACCTCTAAGATTGAAAACCAATATAGATTGGTGATTTTTGGAGAAATAAATGGGGATTTATACAAAGTGACGGCTTATGATTCATCTCAATACAGCCATCACTATTCATTGTGGGTGGCAAGAACATTCTTACAAATTCTCATTTTAGACCAATACTTGCTGCTACATACTCTGACTTGCAAGAATACTCTTAAAAATTCTCATTTTAGACCAATTCTGGCTGCTGCTACTCTGACTGGCAAGAACACTCTTAAAAATTCTCATTTTAGACCAAACCGACCAAACTTTTATGCTACATACTCTGACTGTGAAATAAGTGATCGACCATCAAGCAAAAATAGGCTTGGTGAAGTGGTAAGTTTTCCTAAACCTTATTTTCTATCTCCATGGATATGTCTCATTCATTTGGTACTATGGTTGCTGGATTTCTTATATATTTATGTATGAAAAACCAATTGATTTAACTCTCTCTCTAAGAAAATCCAATTGATTTAAATCTCTCTTAAAGGAAAACCAACTTATCACTTATTAATTTGTGAGCATGTTTTATGTTCTGTGTTTCTTTCTTTGTATGGGAAATTATGATGTATTAGAAGCGTTTGATTTTTTTTCTTTGTATGGGAAATTATGATGTATTAGAAGTGTTTGATTAATTTTTGAGAGAAACTTTTAGGCTAATCATAGCTGATTACACCAACCAGTTTCCCCCTTATTTTTTGTACTTCAACATTCATTAATGTACATTTGATGTTGAATTTCTTAGCAATGTTGTATGATAAGAACTGATAAATAGTTGCATCGACCTATACATTTGTTCACAACCTTTTTATCATGAAGGTGTAAGTGTATAATATGAGATAGCTACACAATCTAGTTTGTGTGTGATGCTTATGTATGTGAACTGTGAAACAGGTGAACTTCTATAGCGTCCATTTTACATATAGGCAAGATTGTGTAATAATTTGACGAGTGTTAAGAGGGTATCAGTCAGCCTAGAGCGATTCATGTTCGGACACTCTTTGGAGGGGTTATTACTGATTGATGTGATATGAGGACTACGCACGGCATTTTTTTTTCTTCTAAAAGATGTTAAAGAAAAATATGACTAGATGATTTGTAATTATAAGTTATACAATAATAATCATAATAGTTTACTACAAATTCTATAATAATATAATTAGAAAAATTATTCGGTGAGGCAATTGACTTATCGATTTATGTGTGTCCCCCTCTGAAATTCATCTTAAGGATGGATTTTGCAAAACTTTAATATTTGCTAATCTCAACTAGGAGGATTATCATGGAACTGGAATTTTCCGTTTTTCAAAAATAGAAATGGCGTTTTTTTATTTTTTAATACATATTAAAGTAATTTTAACAACGATAAGTAAAGAGGGGATGCTTATAAATAAGGTTTGTGCCTCTCTTAAAATCTTATATAGGCTGTTCTCTCAAGCTTTTACTTAAAAAAAAATAATCCAAAATCGGCTACATTGGAGTTAATTCTTTACATAATTCCTTCTTTGTCTATCCAAACCTTGCAGAAGTTAGAAGTTGATTTGAATTCTCTTGAAAGGGTACTCTCTCTCTTTCTCACAGTCTTCATGTAGTTACAATCTCACAAGTTAAATATAGTATATAATAGTTTAAGTGTAATTATATAGTATAAAAGAATACTTGGTATTTTTTGGTTTTGTTATATAATACATTTGCAGGTTGCACATGTTATCAGATGGATAAAATGGCAATAGATCATGAGTTTCATGGTGGCATGAATAGGACTAGCCATTGTTTTAAAACCTGGATCAGTGGGGTTGTTCGTCCACCTCAAAAATAACGTGGAGACCACTAATTGTCAGGGTTCAAAAAACGCTTAGGTGGCCTGCCTGGCGCCCAACGCCTAGGCGGGCATTCAGAACCTCGGGCGTCCCACAATTAAAAAAAAACGAAAAATGCCTAACCCGCTTGGGCGCCCGTCAGGCCCGCTTGGGCGCCCGCCTGGCCTGCTTGGGTGCCCGCCTGGCCTGCTTGGGCTCTTGCCCAGGTACATCAGCCTAGGCGCCTGCGTAGCCCCCCTAGGTGCCCGCCTAGGTACATTTGCTCGTAGACCCTGGCGGGCAGATTTTTGGCCCAGGCCTAGCCCTCCTACGCGCCCGCCTAGCCCGCCTGGGCGCCCGTTCAGGTACATCCGCCTGTGTAGGGCCTCCTGAGTCTAGGCGGGTGGATTTTTGGTCCTGGCTCCCTCTATGGTCCAGGCGAACCGTTTTTTAAAACATTGTTAATTTTGATCAATGTTTTTATTCTTTACACCTACATTTTTTGTTGGATAATAACAATCCCACTGGTATATAGTTTAAATTTATAATTGAATAGGGCATATAAACTTACCAAATCTTTTGCATGCTTTTGAATCTTGATTTGAAATCACGTGCTTTTAATATGACAATACTTTGGAATAATATACTTCTATTGTGACAAGTTTTATTTTTTATTTTTGTGCTATAAAAGCCTTTCAAGCATATCTCTCTTCGTAAATTCCAGCTAATTCGTGAGGCCAAATTAAAAAACCGGAGAAAAGTGGGATGGGTGGTGATTCTGGATTAAAAAAAGGGCCGCAGAGTGGGCTCTTTGTATAATGTTTGCAAAAATAAATGTGACCCATTATGTAATAAAGGCATCAAAACCTTGTTTGTATCCAATTTTTCCAATTTTTGACTTTAGGGAGATTTGTTTTTGGAATAATTTGCGAGCTCATCTAATTTATTGATCATTGTACTCTATCTATATTCATTTATTCTTTTGTTTTAAATTGGAATTAACTTCATAAAACCTTTTTATGCTTAATGCATTTAACACACGTGCAAAAAGCACATGCATTTGACTAGGGTTCTCAATGGCAACCGTTATCACAGATCTCTTTTTCTGTTTTTGGTAATTTTGTAACTAGGAATGTTACTTCTCTTGAATGTGAAAATTTATATGTATGTATTTATAAGACCATATTCCCAGATTAAAAAAAAAAGATAAAAGTCGAGAAGAGAATTTTGATAATCCATAAGACCATAATCCATATTTTTCATACAATGGTAAAACAGTAAAACCATACAAGCATACACTGATAGTCTGATACATTGTAGACTCTATATACAAAAGTTAGATTGTAGAACTAGAAACTAGAAAGTTGAAACTAAAAATAAGAAAAAAAAAATATACAGAAATTCATAAAATATATAGTCTTGGACACAATAATCAACGCTTAACACAACAGTCAACAGTCAACACTCAATACCAAGAGTCTTTAGTTATCATCATCAAAAGAAATAGGGTCAGTTTCATCATATGCATTGGAATCGAGGCCATCATCATCAAAGTCATTTCCCTTTTTAATATAACTCTCGTCCTTCTCTATTTTTTTTGAATCTGCCTCTTCCTCCTCTTCTTCTACCTCCCTCTTACTAGTATGTGCAGATGATGCCTTAGGAGTCTTGGCTGTTCTACCTTTTTCTATCTTTTTGTACTTCTTTGAACTCAAATATTGTATAATTTCCTCCCTGGTAGCTTCAAAAACATTTTTAAACGGGGCAACATCCCTCTTAATATCGGCAAGGTATTTTTTAAACCGGTAAATGCCCCGTATTAGTATCATTTCCACAATAATTATATTTAATAGGATTTTTGTCATTCGGATTCTAGTTATAACCATATTTTCAACTTGAATCACCACTTCTAGAAGAACCTAGAGAAGATATTTCTATAGAACAAGGCTCATTTTCGTCATTTTCTGGTTCTTTTAAAATTAGAAGTTGTCTAATCTTATCCTGAATAGCTTTAGGAACCTTTTTACAAGAAGCAACATTCCTTTTAATACCAGCAAGGTGTTTCTTGAATCGGTTAATACCCCTACTTGTATCTTTTTCATAAAAATTACACCTTATACAATTGTTATTGTTTGGTTTTGGATTATAACCATACTTCCAAACCTGATCACTTGTTTTAGAAGTAGCAGAAATAGATCTATTCCAATGACAAGGATTTTGTTTTTGTTTTTGTTTTACTAAACTCAATATATTGTTTAATCTCTTTTTTGATAGCTTCAGGAACATTTTTACAATGGGCAACACCGCCCTTAATACTGGACCTATTTATTTTCCCTTTCGTATCTTTTCACAAAAATTGCATTTAATGCAATTTTTGTAATTTGGATTCGGGTTACGTCTATATTTTCAACCTGGATCTTTACTTCGACTAAATCATGAAGAAGACATCTCAAAATAAAACAAGCATTCTAAAAAATAAATTTTTGCACTTACTTTGATTGCTCGAACTCCAAACTCCTGCCTTTGAGATTTTTTCGGGTGCTAAAATAATAAAAAACACCATCGAATAGGATTATAAAACTCTAAAACTAAATCAAACCTACCTGGGTGATGTTTGGATCCGTTTTCCGTAACTTTGAGAAGCATTCGATCCAATGAAACTTATAAAATTTAGTTTTTCTTGAGATTTCTTTCTCTCTTTGTGATTTAGGTTTGAAATGAACATAAAACTCATCCTTCAAACCCTTTATATTTTTTAAAAAATCAATACAACTAAAAAACATTTCGCCCAAGGTTGGGCGATGTGCACCCGCTTAGGTGGGTTCGTACTGCACGGGCGCCTAGGGACTGCCGCGCAGTTTGTCTGCCTAGGCTTGCCCTAGGCGCAGTAGGGCTGGGCGCTGGGTCGTGGCCCCCCATTGTTGGGCGCTGTGCGCCCTCCTAGGCGGTTCCCCAATTTGTCCGCTAGGCTTGGGCGACGTGCCCAGGCCTTCTGGACTGCCTAGGCACAGGGCGGTCTGGTTTTTTGAAAACTGAATCTGGTGATGTTATTAAAATATTATATATATATATATATATATATATATATATATTATATAATAAGAATAGAATTCATAACACCCATAATCATAAATTGTGCAAATCTAGTACACTGAAATCAATATAACTACAAATGTTATAAGTTTTATACGTTAATATAAATGAATGGTGGGGTTAGTTTTTTCATCTTTGCCGACCCAGTTTACCCCATCTCTACCATTGGAATTTGCAGAATTGGCTTTGTTAATGACGAACAAAGTCCCACCTAAAAATGATTATGAAAATAAATTATAAAAAAAATTGAGAACTTTAACACCTAAATAAAAATATAGTAAAATAAAAAATTCTAGAATACATGCGGAGCACTTTTGCTTGGTGAAATGTTTAATATTTGCAAGGATGTCACAAATTTTCTGGTTACAAGCCAGCCAGCAATTTTATGTAAAATAAAGAAATGTTATAACATGCCGAAGATAAATATAAATCAAAAAAAATATTTGAGCTAAAAGTATAAGGAGAGAAAAATATAGAGGGAGATATGGAGATAATTAAGGGTGAGTCTGGAGAAGGTTTTTCCCATGTCCTCAATATTGATCTTCAGGATATGATAGAAATAGTAGGATAACAAATTGGCATTTTAGAATATTTTCATCCCATATCAAGATTAAGAATTAAGGTGGGAGATCATCGAGTATATAGAAAGACCTATAGATAGAAAATTGAGAAGAGATATTGTTAAAGATGTCGAGAGATATGGATTGTAATGGATCTCTCTCTCAATAAAGCGGGGGTTTGAGGGGATCGTAACGAAAACCCATTCCATCCCAAAACCGGTTCAGGGTTGATTGATTCTCATTTGCATTTGTGATTCCAATTCGTATTCGGATTAGAGATACAAATTAAATCGTTGGGTTTTAAGTACAATAAATTCTTTAGACGCACTCTGATTTTGGATTAGGAGGGTGTTTTGAGTCTCTTTGGCGGTGTTCTTGAGCTAGACTGACCATCTTGTAAGTCCTCTTCTCCTTTTCTGTTCTTCTGTCCTATTTATTTTTTGTCTGCTCTTTTTCTTATTCGAAATCTGATCTTGCCACGGGTGGATTTTAAGTCGGATCTAGTTACTAATCTCAAGTCATATTTCCATTTGATATTTATCTTGAATTTGTTTATCCTTACTCTTCCTGTTTGTTATTAGGGAAATTATAAAACCTCTGATTTTGAATTTTCTACATATGGATCCCCTTATACTCTTTTTTATTCACGCTATAATTTATGGTAGAAAGGATATGAGGTGGTCTTTTTTTTTTTCATTCTAGTGTGATTTCATACTTCTTGTTTATTCTCCTTAGTTCCGGCCTGGTTATTGCCTAGTTCGGCCTGGTTATTGCCTAGTTTGGATGTACCCAAAATTAGAATATTTTTTAATTTCAAAAAAAGAAAAAATTGAGATAGATTTTTTTAGCTTCCCTTGTCGCCTTCCCTCTTTGAGTCGCACTTACAAAAGCCTCTCTCCCGCTCCCAAGTCTCACAACTATTTCGTTCTCTCATCAAATTGCTCAAAAGGTTTTCAAAGGTAGGTTTGGAAATGATGTTTTACAACCTCAAAACATTTGCAGAGGAAGGTTGGTAAAGGACGTCTCACGTCTTTTGCCCATCAAGGTACTCTATAGAAATAAGCTTTATATGATATTGGGGACTTTACCTCTAAGATTGAAACCAATATAGATTGTTGATTTTTTGATAAATAAATGGGGATTTATACAAAATGATGGCTTACGATTCATCTCAACACAGGCAGTGGTACAACCATAACTATTCATTGGGGTGGCAAGAACACTCTTACAAAATCTCATTTTAGACCAAACCTTGCTGCTATACACTCTGAGTGTGAAATCGGTGATTGACCATCAAGCAAAAATAGGCACAATCTTCGTCATTAAAAATTCTGTGAAATCTGCTTTGGTGAAGTGATAAGTTTTCCTAAACCTTAATTTCTACCTACATGGATATATCTAATTCATTTGGTACTATGGCTACTTGATTTTTTTTTTTTTTATATATAAAAGAAAAATCAACTGATTTAAATCTCTCGAAGAAAAACCAATTGATTTAATCTCTCTCTCTAAGAAAAACCAACTTATCACTTATTAGTTTGTGAGCATGTTTTATGCTCTGTCCTTTTTTCTTTGTATGGGAAATTGTGATGTATTCGAAGGGTTTGATTAATTTTTTGAGAGAAACTTTTAGGCGAATTACTGTTGATTACATCAACCATTTTACCCTTCATATATTGTACTTCAACATACATTAATGTACATTTGATGTTGAATTTCTAGCAATGTTGTATGACAATATTCTGAACTCATAAATAGTTGCATTGACCCATACATTTGTTCACAACTTTTTTATCATGAAGGTGTAAGTGTATAATATGAGATAGCTGCACAAAATCTAGTTTGCGTGTGATGCTCCTGAATGTGAACTATGATTTATGTGAACTTCTATAGCGTCCATTTTATATAGAGTCAAGATTGTGTAATCATTTGACATGTGTTAGAGGGTATCATTGAGTCTAGAGATGTCAGAGCAACCCCCTACCTCTCAAGATCTAACCAAGGCAAATTGAAGTGCAACTCGTGATGAATTTATGGTTGAATAATTGAAAAAATTATATTTTGCTGGAAAGCGGTCTGATATTAGATGGAAGAAAGAGGATTGGAGGTTTGTCTTGGATGCATTTAATAACAACTTTGATGTTCAAAACACCGTACAACAATTAAAAACTGCTACATTTAAGAAACAATATTTTATTGCGAAGAAACTTATTAACCAAAGTGGTTTCGGTTGGGATGACCATGCACATGTTGTAACTGCTTCAAATGGTGTGCAGGATCGATATCTGCAATTAAGTTTTTAGTGTTCATTTGAAATTCTTTATTTTTCTTTGGTTGTAGTAGGAATTTATCTATGCAAGATACTTTGGAAAGCTCACATATCTAAGCAAACAGGGCCATCCTGAAGCAAAACCATTTAGAAAGGCGAGCTTTCCCCTTTATGATCAACTTGCTTTTAACTTACCATACTAGTAGAAGGTAAGGCTTTCCATTGTATTAATAATATTTATTTAATTTTATTATATTGCAATACAATTCTCATTAGAATATGACATTTTATGCCTATAGGTAAACATGCCACAGGGAAAAGGCAATTATCGACTGTTCGTCAAGAGTCAATAGAAGATGACATAAGTGAACCTAAAATTGAGCAAAGTCCACAATCAGACCCACACTATAATGCAAATGAGAATGATTTGAGCTTTTCAGATGATATGCCTATGGACCCCCTTGAAAGGAACAAATGTCATGCTCTTGTAAAATTAATTCCACATGTCTAGCCCTGCAAGTAGATTAGCAGTAGCTGTTGAAAATTTAGTCAGGGCAAACATGTCAACCTCTTAAATAGTACAAAAGGCTACAGAAAATGAAGAGTTTTCATATAATAGTGCTTGATAGAATTGCAGCAGTTGGAAGGCTCAAGTCAAAGTGAGCGTGTGCAAGCAATAGATTTACTTGCTAATGAAAAGGTGGCCATCGCATTTATGACTCTCGAAGGAGAACTTTGTTTGGATTGGCTGCGTTCTAAATGTCACATAGTAGAGTAGACATCCATTTTGTATTTTTAATTTTTTTTTTTGTGTGGGGACTGTTAATTAGTTACTTAAAGAACTTCCTAATCTATCTATGACTTTTGGACCTGAATTTGTTTAGTAACATGAATAAAATGTTTGCTGATTTTTAAATTTACATATTTTGTCATTTTTAGATCATGCTGGTAATAGAGTTCACATGATTTTCAACTCTGATGATGGAATGAGCTTTGGTGAAGGTTAGAAGATGCTTGTTTTATATTGCATTTTTGTAACAATATTTAATATAGAATGCTTTTTTCTGTTTTTAAAATGAGTTCTGTTAAATTAATGACATACAAATCCGACAACCTGGTTTTAGAGTGAGAAAGAAGCCAATGGTGAGTATTAATAGTGGTGGGTCATCAGAATTTGGCATTGTAAGCTCATTATAGAGTGAGAAATTTAGTTTCTTAGTCTACACTAAATCAATCTTGGTTTTTGTTCTGGATCATTTGGTTGGTTTTCTGGCACCTACTTGCTCCATTCAATGAAATGTAATATATAAACTGTGTACTGTTTAGTAAAAGTTTTCTGGTTTTTTGGCACCACTAATGATGATATATGAGGACTTTATGGTGGCCTTAAAATGCAATGGAAGTTAAAATATGTGATTTCATTGAAACCCATTTGATCATTGGATCTTTGGACTCTTTTGTTCTTCATTATTGGGGTCTCTTCAGAATCCATTTTCACATTACTATTGTTAGTACTATTTGTCTTTGGCTTGCAATGAGGTGATGTCCTTGTTTCTCTCCATAATGTCCTTTTGGTTTGCTCTTAAATTGGGTTTCTTTTTTTGTGGTTGCGGTGCATTCTTCTATTAGTTCTATTGGAAGGTTTTTTAGTTCCATTTTATGGAGCATCATATTGTCTTTGACTACACTAGTGACAGTATTATGGTCTTTAGCTTTTCTGGTTGGGCAATTGGTTTTTAGTTTGTACCTTGTTGTATTCATTTCCATGTTTTATTCTCAATGAATTCTCCTATTTATGCAGTCTTATAGGAAACAAACTTAGGTTAAGAAGTTGAGTGTGCAAACTCATATGCAGTTCTAATACAATCTTGTTGGTCAGATTCTAATGCACATGGACTAAATTTTGCAGTAGATGTTTGAGTTAGATATATTTCTTAAATAATGCATTTGTTCACATATTTTTTTTCAATTTCATTAGAATATCTTTTATTTATTCTATACAATGAAGGGAAGCATAATCAACAAAGAAACATGATTGAGATGAATTTGGCTAAACAATATGAGAAGCAACAACGTAAGCGGCAGTTGATTCTTGCACTTGCTCTTTGCAATTATAATGATATTTATGTAAACAAGATTCCTCTTCGTAATTCATCTTACATCGTTTTTAGTTTGTACCTTATATTCATTTCCATGTTTTATTCTCAATGAATTCTTCTATTTATGAAGTCTTATAGGAAACGAACTTAAGAAGTTGAGTGCAAACTTATATGCAGTTCTAATACATTCTTTTTGGTCAGATTCTAATGCACATGGACTAAATTTTGCAGTAGATGTTTGAGTTAGATATATTCCTTAAATAATGCATTTGTTCACATAATGTTTTTCAATTTCGTTAGAATATCTTTCATTATTCTATACAATGAAAAGAAGCATAATCAACAAAGAAACATGATTGAGCTTGAATTGGCTAAACGAGATGAGAAGCAACGACGTAAGCGACAGTTAGTTTTAGCACTTGTGCTTTGCAATTATAATGATATTTATGTAAACAAGATTCCTCTTCGTAATTCATCTTTCTCTGGCTATACATACATAAAAGAAATACTTAGGGTCATAGGGAATGATGCCTTCAAGTTTGTCGTATGGAGTTAAATGTATTTCAAAATTTTTGGGAGATTCTTCGAAGTAGACATTTTCTGAATGATACTCGAGGTGTAAGGTTGAAGAGCAGTTGGCAATGTTCTTATACATAATGGGAAGAGCTCATGCAATCTTATACGTATTGGGGAAGAGTTCATGCAATCGCACAATCCAAGATCGGTTACAACACTCAAGTGAAACCGTTAGCCGCCATTTTGAGAGAGTTTTCAATACAATATGTAAATTACATTTTATTATGTTCATCTACCTTCAAGTAGCACACTTTCAGAAATTCACAAAAAAACATGTATTATCTTTTTTTCAAGGTATTTATTTTAAATTTATGTATCTTTCGAAAATTTTGGGAAATTGATGATAGATTTTAATTGAAGTTTTCTTGCTTTACTTTTTGAATAATTGCATTAGGGTACCCATATTCATGTGAGTATTGGTGTTGAAGAGCAAGCTCCACATTGGAATAGGAAAGACTTTTTATCACAAAATGTAATGACAGATTGTTCTTTTGATCTTGGCTTGTATATGTACTTACTGGGTGGGAGGGATCATCATCGGATTCTTTTATGATAAAAGTTGCTGTAAAATCTGGTTTTAAGGTTCTTAGAGGTTATGGTTATTTTCTTTACTGTTAAGATTTGTGAGAGCCTATATACACAGATATTGAATGGGGAGAGAAAGTTCAGGCCGAAGCTTTACGTCTACAGATTCAAAGCCTCAATGGGCTACATCTTCACTGAGTTTTGGATGAATGTTTACATCAATAAGTATCTCTATATATAGATTTGAGATAAATATGGTATGATTCTTGGATATAGGTAAATAGTAGGAGCTTTATCACCAAACTAACTTGATGATCAAGTAACTTTGACTTGCCTCTTCTTATCTTAAGCACTCACCCTCAAGTTGTTGTACAGAGATTTGAAACGAAGTGTCCAACTTGGCAAACTGAAACAAGATCCGAAGTCTTGAAACCAAAAAATTGCCAAAAAAACATTTATTGCTCTCATTGGCTTGCTTGAATAGTCTGCAAGATCGAAGAGATGTTATCCTGAATACATGATCACCAAACTTGGTCTAAAGACCATTAAAACTGCTACAAAGGCACAACAACGACGACTTTGCGACAAATAAAGTGACAACGATCACTGAAGATCTTAAAGATTGGTGAAAACTTCTACTTGAAAAATCCGCTAATCATGAATGTGCTTTCCCTGATGATGTCGCAAGAGCGAAGAGATGTTATCCTGAATACATGATCACCAAACTTGGTCTAAAGACCACTAGAACTGCTACAAAGGCACAACAAAGATGACTTTGTGATACATAAAGTGGCAACGAACAATGAAGATTCAGAAGATTGGTGAAAGCTTTTACTTGAAAAATCCGCTAATCATGAATGTGCTTTCCCTGATGATGTCACTACGATGATGGTGTCACTACAACAATGGTGTGACGTAGTCCTCTGCAACATGGCGTTAGGAGCAACGTGAGACAACTGAATACATGGCGTTAGGAGCATGTAACGCGTGTGACAACTAAGAAATGTGCGAATACCAGCAAGAACTGATGTTCTTGTCCAAATAGCGGTTACATTAAAGATGGTCGAGTTCATCTCTACTCACCTCATCCCCATATCTCCTATACTCTCCCCCTCAAGTTGGGTGTAGATGAAAAGAAACACCCAAGATGTAAAATACTTTTTGTGTTTTTTGAGTACAATGATATCAAAAAATGTCAATGAAATTGGGCTTGACAAATAGCCCACATCTTAAAAAAAAAATACCACTCATGTTTATTTTCTTTTCCACTTCTTCATTGTTTTGTTCTTTTCAAATATGATACTCTTTAACATTGATTTGTTTTTTTCAAATATGATACTATTTAACATTGTTTTGTTTTTTTCAAATATGATACTCTTTAACATAGAACGAACTTAGAGAAGGCAGCAAGTTAACTGTTCCTTGACAGACCATGGAAAGACAGTCCATGGAAAAGGTCAAAAGATATGCGCCTCCTAATGGAATGGTTATATTGTTGGACACTTCGCTAAAATCTGTTTTAGTGAAATGGATGATCCAGATGTGCCAAGCTGATGGAAAGCTGCATAAGCTAGGGTTATATAACAACTCCCACTTAAATAACATTAATGACTCAATTATCTAAACAAAATTTGGTAATTTAAGAGGATCCAAGCAATCCAGATTTATACCCTAACAATCACATATTATAGGCCAAAGGCTATCAATGGGAAAGTAGATCTTCCCAACCCCACTCTGACATCACAAATCGCCATAGCTTCGAATGAAAAATCCAAAGAGTTGTATTAAAAAATTTTGGAAGCATGAGTAGATATGAAAGAAAACACAAACAAAAAAACTCGACAAGATGAGAGAGATCAACGCCACCTCCTGGCTTCTCTCTCAGACTCGAGCGAGGTGAATATGTCATCTTCTTTGACAGGCCCCTTCACATTACGCATGATGAAACTATTCAGATCATCCAAAAACTTCAATCGAACCTGAGACTTGACCCCTTGATCCAGTTCTTCCCATAACCTTAACAACCACGAGCATGTCTCTCTAAGATCATGGTGAAGATGGAGGGTCTAAACAGGATGGAACCAAAAAAGGATTAGAAAAAGAAGTCCTAGAAACCAAAAATACCCAATAGGCCTATGAGTATTAAAGGTATCACCACAAAAACCTTTCCAAATAGTTCGAACATCAATTAAATGGGCTTCCAACACATCAACTAGGATGATGGGTGAGGCAAGTCCACATCAAGTTGTGCCCCTTCAAGTTAATCAAGTTATTGATGTGGCACAAAATGTCACCTTTTGCATTCCAAGAAGAGAGCAATTTGCAAACAGTTTGCGAATATTTAGATTTGCATTGTGTGAAGATCCCCTTTTGCTCATCAGTCTGTAGAACCTTTGCAGCAAAAAATAACGTCTAGTGCAAACCTAGTTTGCAATCTATTTCCGTGAAATTTCCTTTTGCCTTGGAAATAATAGCTATGGAAAGAAACGATTATTGAGAGAGCGAGAAAGATCCACGCTCACCATACACAAGCCATAATAAATCGATTGTAGAGGTTTTTTAACATAGGTCTCAAGACTTCTGTTCTGATACCATGTTAAGATTTGTGAGAGCATAAATGCAAGATTTGTGAGAGCATACATTCACAGGCATTGAATGGGGAGAGAAGAAAAGAGAATATAACATTTACGTGGTTTAGGCTGAAGTGTTACGTTCACGGA